TTAGTAAGTTAAAGGGGTATATGATTACCAGCATCTACTACACCTTTTCTTAGCATGTTACTTCCCTTCTGACAGAGAATGTGACACTTGTTCTATAATCAGATGAAAAAGAGAATGAAGGAATTACATACAACTGAAGATTCTGGAGGACTTTGGAGTTCCTGATTATGCTTAGAATTGCCTATCTGACTACTTGCCAAGGAAAGAATTTAACCAAATGCAATATTGGAATAGATTCAGTACTGCTAAATTTATGAAGCCCATTTTCACTGTTAGTTTGTGCACCACCAGTGAAAGTATTGCCATTGTTACTGAAGGAAACCAATATCTCTTAGGTAGCATGTGAACTAGACATCTGCAGCTGCCACTTGTCTGTACACAGACTGTGGAGAGCAAATGAATAAATTGCTCATGAAGATACTTTTATTTTTCTCAATGTGGCTGCAGTCTGTAATTATTTGGAGATCTTATGTCAGCAGCACTTAGCTTATGACATGCTTGAAAATTGTGTTTAGAGAATTAATATTGCTGTTTGTAGTAGGTCACCTTGGGATATATTTCAGCTCTTCCCTTTCTTGATGGTACACTTCATTATATTTAAGTACATTCCTGGAAGAGGCAGACTGAAGCAAAGGCAATTAAGGGAAGCCCGGTTAACAAATTAAAAAGTTAAGGGGTCTGGGTTTTTCTTTTGAAAAACTGGGGTTTTTTTATTTTTTCTTTTTTTTTCTTGAAAGTGAGCTACAATCCCTGATGGCCAGGCTTGCTCTCATTGCAAGGATATGTGGCTGTGTCACCTGGAATTCAGCCTGCCTCAAAGATTTCTGATTCAGCTGATGTGGGGCTCTGCTGGAGGTATCGCAAGAATAATATCTCCTTACTGAACCATTGGAAGAGTGTTTCAGTGCAGATTTACATGGTTTCATGGAAGGACTTTCTCTCTTAATACCTCTTATTCATTGGCAGATATCACCTGCACAGAAGTGACAGGAAACCACAAGGGCAGGGGGATGTGACAAGGACCACAAGGGAAGAAGGAGGAAATTTCTTGAAACAGATCCCCCAAAATCTTGTTTAGATACTCTAGGACAAGATTCAATTTGTTATCACCAGCCCACCCAGGTAGTTCTGACTGGGAAGATGTGTGTAATGGATGGGGAAGAAGTGTGTAATTAGTAGACAGAAAGAAAGAGGAAAAAAACAACAAAGATAGATCAATAATCAACCCAGAGAGAAGAAGAAAGAATTTTTATATTGGGACTATCAAAGATCTGTTTGATCCAGAGTTTTCTATAAGTGTTCTATAAAGCAAAATATTACAGAAATCTCATTATTGGAGATATTGATTTGCTATATGGAGTGTTGAATTTGTATACAGAGATAGGTAATGGGGCAATTGGGACAGCAAGGAACTGGGTCATTCAGAATCACAGAATCATTTAGGTTGGAAAAGACCTCTAAGACCATGGAGCCAAACCATTACCTCATGACTGCCATGTTCACCATTAAACCATGACCCTAAACATCATGCCTACCTCCAGGGATGCTGATTCCATCATTTCCCTGGACAACCTGTTCCAATGTCTGACTCCCTTTTCAGTAAAGAAATTTTTTCTAATATCATGACTCATTTCCACTTAGAGTGTTACCTAGGGAAGAGAGAGGGAGTCAGGGAAGGGAGAGAAAAGATCCTTCTGACAAATTTAATTGGAAAAGCAGAAATCTATTACTTTCACTTTCACCTGAAATGGATTTGGTATAGTATGAAACTGATTTCAGCTCATAATCTAAAAGTCTATTTCTCAAATTTTTCTACAAATAAAATTTCACTCACATGAATACAAACTTTTGTGAAGGGATGAACATAGAAGTCAATAAAACATGACCAGCTGTTTCCCTTTTGAAATAATTCCAGCTATTTGTAATATATTTTTCCTATTATTTTGCCCAGGCTTAAGTTGAACCTAAAGCCTAATTCCCACAGCCTTTAGGGGAAAACACAAAGATTTCTCTTCCAGGTAGGCTAAAGAAATGTTCTGTAAAAAAGAAAAGGTTTTATCATTTAGTTTGTTGAGCTCCATTATCCCTTACTAGACTCCAAATACTGCACCTTCATTAAAACACGTAAGCACCTTAATTTTGCCTCTAAATATTCAGGGGGCAGAATAAAAAGAAAGCTTTTGGTTTTTATATTTTTTTCATGGGACAGTACTTAAAATCTCCTATGCCAGGCTTAGGTAGTTCTCACAGTACTCTTTAAGGTGAAAATTTACCACTGGACACTGTCCTTAAAACCATAGCTCTTAATGGTGGTGATTAAGTGAGAGAGAAAAGCCACTTCTACTTTGTCTTTGGATTTCACAGGATAATAGATACAGTGCAATCTTTGTGAAAACCAGAGATGTAAAGCATGGTCTGGTCCTAAAAGTCATTTCAGTGCTGGAAATGGATGATTTTTGGAATAATGCCCGGTGAACTGCAACTTTCAGAAAGTCAAGAGACTGTCCTATTAAATCTAAAAGGTTGGTTTGGCTGGTATACAATAGATACTAAACTCAAAGTACAAGAGTCAGATTGACTTACTGGAGACATTTATCTGCTGGAATCATAGCCCACCTTTCACTCTGCTCTGCTGAACTACCACACTCCTAATCAAATCTTTATGGCCACAGAGGTATATGGGTGACATAAGGCAAGTGTCAAGTGTCAACCCAGGGAACCTAAGGCACATGGCAGAGTTATTATCACTTATTTTTCCCCATTTAGGAACAAAAGAGGCATATAGTGTTTAAACACTTGACAGAAATATTCTTTTCTTTCCAGGATTGACTTTTATGCTGTGTGACCCAATCCCTTCTCTGGGGTGAAGTTTCCTACTCTGTTATCCATGGTGATTTATAGGGAAGAAGGCAGAATGTGATCCAAATTTTACCATAACCCAAGATATACTTCCATAAAGCGAGGAAAGGAGTTTCTGTGAAATACCTGTTTCTGTGAAATATCTATTTTTGAGCATTTGAACAGGACGAAGCCTGTTAGCAGAAATCCCACCAAGAATGCTGTTTTACTGCATCCTTATGACTAAGTCTAAAGCACTCCCCTTCCTAGCCCTCCTGTTCCTGCAAAAAGGAAATCTGGCATGAGGGATGAGCCACATAGCAGCTGAGCTGGTGACAGAAAGTTCAGGCTGCACTGGGAGTGTTCTCAAAGGTGATATTAAACAGAAATTATTTGACTTGGTCGTCTCCTGTCTTACATTACAAAGTCATGTAATTCCTTCTCCTTGGCTACCATCTCACAGAGATAATAGTTGCAGAGTCATGTGTTGCCCTTACTTGTAGCCAGCACAGAATGCTGTAATCTGATTTCACAGATATTGGAGGTGCCACTCGGCCATCTCCATCCTCATTTTCCTTCAGGCTCACAGTGGAAGTGAGAATGAAACTGAAAGAGGAAATTAGCCCCTCGGTCACAAGTATGAGCATGTGAATGGGATCAGTGCAAAAGGCTTATTTCTGCTCTTCCTTAAAAACAGAAAGAAAAGTAGTGTCAGATTCCTAAAGCTTGTTCTCAGTTTTAATGAGCACAAGGGAATAACACTGAAAAGACTTGTATGTTTCAAGCTGCAATACATCAGGCTGTCAAAAACACTGGAATGCCACACACTCTAATCTTTTTTCACTCACCATGGCACAGTCGGTACAATTATCTTGTTGCAGCAAATTGGGGGAAAAAGTATTAAGAGTAAATTAGTGTTTAAAAGCTATGAAATCTGCATTGCAGGTTGTCCCATTTCCTAAAGAGAGAAATATTATGAAAGCATTAAATAAGGATGTGAATTTTTAAGAAGCCTATTTCTCCTTTCCACAGTGCTGCAAATACTTCTGGTGCACAGCCATGGCATAATCTGTAATAGTATCGGTGACAAGGAAAAAAAATAAAACTGGATGAGACCTGTAATTTTAGAACCAATACATAACAGCAAACAAATCTGATGGAAAATGCCATGAATAGTAATTGCCTGTTTGCAAAAGATATGAAGGTCAGGAAAAACACTGGGTGAAATTCAAAAGATGGGAATACATACTGGGAGAAAATAAAAAATTTCAATTCATGCAGATACCTTTCTCAGTCAGTCATAGATTTTCTTCGCATCTTTAAAATGCTAAGTGTACTCTTCACTAAAAGTAATTAATGATAAATAATTTGAAAAGCCTTTTCTCTTTCCTGCTGTTTATGACACTTCAAAACTGTCAGGATGAATTCATCTACCTCTGCTTGCTCACAGAAGTTCAAGAGCCACATGCAGTGCTTGGATACTCCATCACCAAGATTCCCACACCACATTAGAGGCACAAATCTAAAGGGACATGGACATACACAGATATAAATGAGTAAGGTCCTATTTGGTTTTGTCATTATTATCAAGAAGAGGAAAGTAAGAAGAAAATATTAGAAGAGCAGGCTGAGATGACATATTTCAAAATTTTCCTATAATAGTGGAATGTGAAAAAATAAATAGGCCATCTTCTGTCAATGATGGAACATTATTTTGGAAACTGTGAGGTGTGATTGTCTGAAGTTCTAAAAATAATTAAGTTCACAGTTTCACAATTTGGCTCTTAGGGAGTGTTGCAATACATAAAGATTAGTACAGTCTAAAATGGTGGTTCACTCATAACATTTAATTACACAAAGTTAGTAGAAGAATAGAATAAATTCAGTTGTCCAGAGTTAATATCTCAGGTAAGTTTTGGATTTTGTTTTCATTTTGCTCCTGAAGGACTTGGCAGTGAGCAATGGATGCTGATCTGCTAATGATCTCTGTGGCTGGAGCTTGATGCAGCTGTGGAATAGATGAAACCTCTGCTGTGATTCAGTTAATACCTCCAAACATCTCAGTCTTCACTGTTGCTTTGCTTCAGAGTCTGGTTCTACTTTTAGTCAGTCCAGTAGACCGGCAGAGAATCCACACTAACTGATTCTATTGTAAAACTCACCTTCTGATAGCGCTTTTTCAGCTGCAAGACAGATGAAGATTTTAGGATTATCTTTTCATCTTGATTCCATTTGTTGTTTCCCAACTAGAGGGGCAAGTTTATGTGGATAAGTTATGCACAGAGAAGGCATTTCTCTCCTGTGGTAATGGAAGCCATAAAAGACTTAAACCCATTTGCTTCTGTAATTAAATCATCCATCTCAGGAGAATCAAGGAAAAGCTGCAAATGGAGATTTTTCAAATTAAGAAAAATTAGGCAGTAAATAAATGTTTAAAACCCACCCAGCTTAAATGAGTTTTCCTTTAATAGACTGAATTTCTTGCTCCTAAAAAGAAACAACAACAACAAATCTGACCACCACAACAAATAGCAAACTGAAAGCTGAAATTACTCCCTTAGTAATGGTTTATTTTGACTTGGAATATGAAGCTCAGACATTTAAAAACTGACCTGAATGGGTTTTTTTTTAAATTATAATTGATTGGTTTTCTTTCACCCAATGAAAGACCACAAAGAGATGAATGATAATTAGCCATTTTGTCATTATAGTGGTTGGTACATAATTCACATGGGGAGAAATTTAGCAAGTGTTTGTTGTTGTTCCTGTCCTTTTGAAGAAGTCTAAAAGGGCTTTTGTTAATTCACTCTGGTACCTTCACATACTTGAAAATATATTTTCTATTTAGATAAGGCTTCTGTTTTTTATATACGTGCCATGCAGATTCAGGAAGACCTTTGATTATATTGGTGAACCCTGCACAAGGGGCTGCTTCCAGCATCAATGTTTAATTGATTTTATAGACACAAACAACGAAGCCCTTGAAAACCAAATTCATACTGAAGTGGCTGAGCCTTTTCTGTTCATCCCTCTAACTCCAGCATTCAATTCCAGCTAAGAAAGATCACATTCTTCAAGAAGTATTTTTTCCCCACACTTTTTTTTTTTGGTGATTAGCTATAGAATTCAGTAAAGTGCCTGATGTACCACATTAAGAAGGATGCTAAGCGGTTTACAAATCTCAGTAATTAATGACTATTTTTATCACAGAGAATATAGGCGACTTTCTTATATCTATCTGAAACTCAATATAAGCCTCTATAAGCCTCCAGGCTGCATAATTGGTGCAATAGAGCTGAAAATGAGATGGAGGATATAATACAGCTCAAGTAATCCTGCCTTTAGCTGAAATGGAACAGTGGAGGCTCTGAGCATCCAGAATGTTGTTTCCACTAAGATTTAAAGCCAGCCAGCTGTCGGCTGCTGCAGTGAAAATTGTAGTGTTATTTACTTTCTTTAGTATACTCCAAAAACTTAAAGAGACACAACCATATTTATGGGCATTTTTTTTATCTTAAACAACTTAAGCAATGTATACTATCACATTTTTTCTTGTTAGGGGCCAAATGGGTGCATATCCTTAATAAAAATTTCAATTCAAGCACTCTGGAAATTACCTCAGGTCACAACATTCTGGAAACGATGCAATTGGTTTTACCTTCTCTATGCAGGAACTGTGAGAAATAAAATCTTTTTAAAATCATAATGGGTTTATAAAGGGCTCTGAGAACAGGAGGGAACATTGAAAAGGTTTATACAGTGGTGACATTTTTAGATTGAAAGAGAGTGCTTGTTATACAGAGACCTGATGAAATCTGTCAGGTTGGGATTTACTGTTTAGCACATTTACCTCAGATCTAAAACCACCAAAAAAAGTTTAAAAATAGTAAAATAAAAACCACATCAATCTCACCTTTCCTTTTCTTTACAGTTTGCATTGCAGAGAAGATTTAAATGAACCAATGAAAATAATGACAAAATCTTTAGTATACTTCATTTTAATTGGTTATGTAACTTATTAGTAAATTATAAACACAGTATGTTTTATCTCATTTTTCTGTGAGAGCACTGGGAAAATTCCCCAGTGTTGTGGCTGAAATGCAGTCAGTCAGATTAGGGTTTGGGTTTTTTTTTTTTTCTCTCTCTAGGGAAATCTTGGGTATTTTAAAGTTATAACAGTGTATAACCTAAGGTTTGGGGTGAGGATTATCTCTGTTTTTAATTGTGTGCAAGGAGCCTAGCAGAGTAGAGTCCAGGGGCAATGCTGTAAATGGATCATTAAATACCATTAAGCCTGTGGCAAGGGAGAAGGAACCAGTATAATCATTGTACATCTTTCCCCCCAGATTCACCCTCAGCCTAGGGTCTAGCTCTTGGTCTGCTGGAAATGACATTTTTGGATTACACCAGAAAAATCGCATTAATGTTTCTGCCATTGCCACAGTCCTGCTGTGTTTGTCCTTGCGACAGATTCATGGCCCGTTCTGCTTCATCATCTGCATGGCTGAGATGAGAACACCAATTCTCTGTCTCAGGGACATGTGGTGGATTTTAAAAATGATGTGGAGGCAGAGAACATTGTCATCACTGTTTAATAATGGTGAATGATACTCAGGAGCTTCTCACACCTCACATGTCCTGCTCAGAACATGCAGCCACCTCACAAGGGGAGGCAATCTCTGTTCCATCCAAATGGGCTGTGTAAATAATGTCCTGTGTAGATAAATGTCCTATGGGAGCTGCTCTGGTGCTGCAAACCATCCTCCACCATCAGTGACCCCACTGAACCCTGGATAAACACTGTGGGGCTGTGATCAGAGACTGCAGGGAGGAGAAGCTTCAAGGGCTGGTGGTACCTGCTCAGTCTCTGTCACCTCCCTGCAAGAGAATGCACACATCCCTCAGTGCTGTTAACTACCCCATGGATGGGGTAGTAAAAACTAATTTACCCCAGAGACCCTGAATTCTGTATTCTGCTACTTTGGCCCAGGCAAAACATTACTTATCTCATTAAAAGATAATTTCAAAAGTTCAAAGATGAGGAATCCTGACTCTTATAGATGGTCAGAAGGCATCTAAATGTCCTTCTTCTCACGACACAGTTCGGACCTCAGAAGGAAATCTATGCCCTGTATTCCTCTCTTCTGAGTACTGCATCTTTTATATATTACTTTGCCTTTATGGATTATGCTGCAAAGAGTTGCTAGGTATTATGCTAAGAGATCATATAGAAGGCATTGCTAAAAACTATTTTATCACATTTACATTAAGGTGGTGTAATCAAATATTTTGGTATTCACTGTGGACCAATGCTTCCTTTTATGTTAAATTTTTTAAGTTTCAACAGCATCCAATTTCAACTGTTTTTTTCCTAACCTGGATGAACTAGGAGAGTGGGGAATACATTAAACTGGAGACATTAACCTCAGATTATTTTCTTTGGTTCACAAAGCCCATTTCATCATATGAACATTCACTTCAGGAATTTAAGACCACTCTTTCTGAGAGGCAACTCCACTATTAAGAGACAGCCTTAGAGCTACAGAACATTTTGGTGATGTTTCTGGAGTTATACATGACCAAGGCAAAGTGTTTTGACTGAATAGAATGCAATATTGCCAGAAAAAAAAATATCTTCAATTAAAAAAAAAGAAGTGAGGAAGCAGGACTGAACATTCACTCTCTAATAGAAAAGTAATAGAGCTGTCCTTATGAGGACCATGTTCTTTATTCATGTCTTGAAAAAACTAATCAAAATTTTGATTTTACTATTCAGATCTCCTCTATTTTGTTCTATAGGTCTTCACATGTTTCAAATCTGCATATTCAAATGCACTTCTTATCTTTCCACTATCATCTCTTTCTCTGGACTTCTCATCAACATTATCTTCTTGGTATCACACAATTCATTTTTCTATTTCCTTCTCAATATTCTCCCTTTAATTCCTCACCATGTTGACCTATTTTCAGGAACAGTTTCTTATATCATCAGAAGTTGAACCCAGTGTATACATTAGAATTAAGTTCTGAAAGGCAATCTACAGGGGTAAGAGACACAAAAACCTTTACCTGTCACACTCTCCATCCCCTGCAACATACTCCAACAGGACAATATTGCTGTCTGGATATGTACACACACAGCTACTGCTTTTTGCTGGGTCTTACACCTTTAATTGAAGTTCTGGATGGCACACAGAGGGATTGCCCAAAGTTTAATAGACTTCTGTTGCAGGAAAAAAAATCTGTTAACAACACATTTTAAAATTTACCTTATAGAATTTAGCCAGACAGATAAATGCAGAATAGTTCCTAAGCCTCAATAATGCAGAATCACACACTAAGTCATCATCATTCCTTAACGTTAGAGGAACATTAAGGTTGGAAATTGTGGTGCCTGCCTGCAAGATAACATGTACCTGCAGATTTTGAAGCAGACTGTATTTGACACATCAGAGTAGAGCCAGGAAGAAGACAAAACTAGTTATCTGCAATTGGGAAATAATGATGGGGGGATAGTTATGTTATATATCAATAAAGCCATAGAACTGTTATCTGCTGAGCCTGTGGATGCATTAGATGCCACAGAAATTGTACAAGAGTGGAAGTGTGAATAATCTGGCCTGGTAGGTGTGAGAAGCTGATTAAAGAGGCTCAAAAAGTGGGAGGATAATTGAAACAACAAATTTGTTTTCCTGCAAGATTATCAGGCCCAGTTTGGTGCATTCAGTCTCCTGGGGTCCCGTAAACTTCCTCTGTCATGCTGGAGGACAACAGGCTCTGTGCAGAAGCCTAGGAGGAGCCTTTACCTCTCATCAGCTTGACCTTGATGTGTCCACAGTAGAAAACCTAATCTGTGGGAATGGCAGCCTGGGTCTGCCTAACCAGGCCACTCCTGCTGCCACCTGCACTGCTCTGTGGCAGCAAAGGCAGGGGTCTGAGAGCTCTGCTGTCCCTCCCTGGGAGCCAGGGACAGCACAGGACCTGGCAGGGAGCAAATGAGCGCTGCCAAGGAAGTAGGGAACCTCTGCTTCAGTGAGACTGCAGCCTCACAAGCCAAGGGATGGAAGATGGAAGGATGCTGAGATGTTTCTGCTGTTTCCTATGTCAGTTATTTACCTGTGTTTACAAGCCTGGCACCACATTTATGTGAATATATATAAATAAAGAGTTGTGGGTGCATCTCCACAAGAGACTGGATATGAGCATTGCCAGAGATGGAGAGCTGGGGCCAGCCCTGCATAGTAAATAACCATTTAAACTCAGGTCCTGCTGTTAAGGAAACTTCCCAGAGAGATCATTCACAAGGCTCTCCGCCAGCCACACTCCCAATGTCACAGACTGTCACTGCTGGGACTGTCACCCCTTCACTGGGGTGGCTCCA